GAGAAGGTGAGTTGCACGACACTCCATACTGCACTCCACTGCATTGCATTTCACTTCATTCTGCTCATCTCCACCATCATTCCCTATTGATCCAATTTCTCTAAATGCTTCTGCATGAAATGACGCGATACCGGCTAACGAATAATCTTTCCAATACAAATTATTCCTCACATAGACATCAAGTTGTGATGTGAGCATGTGTAAGCAGTACTTCATAGATGTAACCAAGTTATGTGCGAACTGATCGCGATTTCTCTGTGTAACAGCAGTATAAGCTGACATAAATGAAAAAAAGTGTATATTTATTGATGACAGCGTCAAAAATAATCCAGACATTGTAAGTGGTGATAAGATTAGGATGGGAGAGAAGATGCGATCGAAGCGGTGAATGCGTTGGAGTAAATGACGAAGTTGAAAACAGGAAAATCCGATGTTCTGCACAGCAATTCTCAATTGGAAACATAATTCCTGCCTACTCATAACCTCACTCACTTCACAATGTCACGCCAATCTGTACTGCATTCATTATTGAGTGCTTATTTGTATGTGAATCCATTACATCAAACTTGCTTGCTCGATTGATTGATTGCTTCACTGATGCTAACACGACTGCCTTCCTTCTTTCAACAGACTAAATTGGAATGTCCAACCAGTCAATGGAGCAGGATTCTGTCCAATCTGATTGACCACGAACCGAAGCGTCTCCTTCCACTTCACACACACACATGCACAAAGTCAGTGTGTGTGTGTGTGCATATTTTCACCAAAATGTGACTCTGTAAATCATGCAAGTGATTTGGTACAGCGTCATTCTATTTTCTCCCCTTCTCTTTCTTCTCCCACCTAAGTAACCTCACATTCATTTTCACAAATATACAAATATTCAGACGAGTTGATCGCTTTCTTCCTTTCCGAAAAGTCCATTTCCAGCGTTGCGCTACACGAGGTTGGTCAGTAATGATGACGATTGTAACAGTGATGCAGAGGGCGACAGTGTTGCATTGTTGACGTGCGTGTTTGTATTTACACCGAAGCTCTGGATGTGAACATGTTGATTAAGTAGACGTCAGTGTGTGGTGACCAGATGAAGTTTATAGATGAGGGTAGGGCGGTAGGGTCAATTAGAACAACGGCGCAAAATACTTGAGAGGATCTAGAATATTAGACGGTGATGAGATAAGAGGCTCAACAATGACCGCTCACCAACAGCACTGCAAATAGTCACAATAAACCATGCAAGAGAATTGGCCATTGTAATATTTCTGAAATCTCACTAAAAAATGTGGGATTAGAGATTGATGACTGAAGGCTTGTTGATCGAACCAACACGTGTTGTGGACATCAACAAATAGCACTTTAATTCCCCCATGGAATATGGAGACAGAATTGTTGTGTGAGTGGGCGATGCACAGCTTCATAATGAATCCCATCAGAAATGACTTCTCGGTGAAGTTGTATGAACCGGATAGCCCGATATGAGTAGTGTTGTCTTCGCGAAGTCCTCCACTTCATTATTTACCTCAAATGCTGTGTTGAATGTCCGGTCTACTCGGAAAACAATTCTCGAAGAATGAAGTCATGAATTCCTCTCAGTTCACTCTTAGAGTTGCAGTCGTCAATGTGTGTGCAAGGACGTTTTCCGTAGACGAGGAGACGACTGAATTCATTTTATTCTGCTGAGTGATAGACCAGTACTCCAGTTTTATTGTTTGAAGTTTTTGAATGTTTGTGCCCAGTATGCAGCGTTCACATTCATCAATCAACTCTGTATTCGTAGCGAAGCCAATTTGAATGGTTGTTTTTATCAACTCCATTCAACAGTTGGCTATATGATAATGCTACGTGTCAGATGATCCACAGTACAAAACTCAGTGAGGTGTTTGAAGTGAATACAAGAGTAAGACAAGGCTGCCTGCCTATTATCACCGATGATATTCTTAATTGTGGTGGACTAGATTATGCGTCACACTATGCGCGGGGAACGAGGAGAGAGGAATACGCTGGACCACCGATAATAAAATTCTAGAAGATATGGATTTAGCATGTATATGATATATGTCTAATCTCACACTAATTCGAAGGCATGCAAACCAAAATCAACAAATTGGCTGAAGGGGCAGGCAGTGAAGACAGAATTCCAGATGAACATAGATGAGACAGGGGTGATGTAGATACCCACGCACCAACAGAAACAACCAGCAGCAATCAACATCAACGGGAGAGGTTTGACAGATGATACTGAGTTCACCTACCTGGAAAGCATGGTTTCAACCGTAGCCAGCGGAACCGATAAAAATGTCAAAGCCAGCAAAATCGGATAGGCGCGATATGCCTTCATCAATTCGAAATCGGTTTGGAAATCTTCTGCACTCAGCCAGCACAAAGAACAAGATTCGGATTTTCAACACAAATGTGAAGTCAGTCATTTATTCTAGATGCGTCAGAAACTTGCACTGCGCGTTATAAAAAGGGTTTCCAACAGGCTACTGAAGACATTTATCAACAGCCGCCTTCATTGGCTCTAAAGTGAAGATCAAGTGGCCAACAAGAAAGAATTAGCAACAAGAAACTCTGGTAGTGAACAAACCAACTATGGGCACTGAGTTTGAGCCTCGGTGGGAACATCATCACTCACTGGGAATGCATGTGCATCCAGTGACGAGTCCAAAATAGGATGAAATGCGCATCCTGGATTCCGCTGCTAGTCACCAACCACCAATTAAATTCAAACCAACCGAGAGTCGATTAGTCATCAATTATGTAGGAGAAAATACTGATGGATTGGGTATACGTTGAGGAGGCCGTCGAATGACATTGCATGCAATGCAGGCCATCGTTCGAGTGGAATCCCATTGGGAAGCGACGAGTGGGCGTGCATCCGAGAGTGACACGGAGGATGATCGCGTGGCAAGAAGTAGATGAGATAATATGGGCAATCGTGGACCCAGCTGAAGAGGAAAGCAAAGAATAGAACAAAGTCGAAGTGTGTTGTTGAAGCCCTATTTTTTAATCGGATTCTAATGGGATAATATTAATAATAATACTGCTGCCATCCTTATATATCATCTACCTGCCAACCAACATCGATTCCTCAATTAAAAGATTCGCCAAATAGTTGTGCTAATTCTGTCTGTATTTACAAGTTCAGCTGTTCCTGTGGGACAGGTTACGCAGGACGAATAACAGGACAGGTCAACAAACGCATTACTGATCATCTTCTTTCGTCTTTAGGAAAAGCCCAACAAAGTGCATAAGACGCTCTGTTTTGTCTCATTTGATTGGTAACGTTCATGAAGTGCACAGCGAAAGCGCTTCCACGGTTGTTTATCACATTCCACCGGACTTTTCGTTTCATAGTCAGTTTAATGTTTAAAACTGAAACTGTGAGACCGCACTTCATCCTAATGTGCACTAGTTCTCTGCATGCAAATGCACTCCACTCTGAGTGATGGCGTTCCGACCGAGTCCCGAACCCAGCATCCGTCGTTTCAAATGCCGGGCGTTATAAACGATAATGCATTGGTTATCTGTCACAGACAGCTCCCGTAAGTGAGATATTGGTGAAAAGTGACAAAATGTCGGAAGTTAGTATACTTTTGTCAGCAATATCCATGTCTTGTATGCAATCGAAGAATTGGAAAGTGACACGAAGCAAATACGAGCATAGATGTTTCCTCACAGGTTCCAGAATATCCGTCAAGCCGTATACGACAGAACGACATAGGGAAACTGACATATCTAGAAATGGACGGAGCTGGTGAACAAATTCGTGTATGTTTGGTAAACCATATAGTCTTGGTATTACTCAATTCGTTGGTCGGATATGATCACAAATATCGAGGCTAATTCTCTGATCGGTTTACATCCTTTTCAATTATTCAAATCCGTTTCTGTATTAACTAATATTAAATGACTGTGAAAACCCATCACATTTATTACTACCCACTTTCATGAAGAAATTTTATGTAGATGAGATTGTATAGCTAAAGAAAATGAATTCGCTAAAAAGAGACTCTTCGATGAAATACGCTTTTCATTAGAGGTAGAATCTTTGAAAATCGAACGTTTTCAGTTCGAAACGTCTTCAAACAACCATTCAAATTGGCTTCGCTATGAATACAGAGTTGATTGATGAATGTGAACGCTGCATACTGTGTACAAACATTCAAAAACTTCAAACAATAAAACTGGAGTGCTGGTCTATCATTCAGCAGAATAAAATGAATTCAGTCGTCTCCTCGTCTACGGAAACCGTCCTTGCACACACATTGACGACTGCAACTCTAAGAGTGAACTGAGAGGAATTCATGACTTCATTCTTCGAGAATTGTTTTCCGAGTAGACCGGACATTCAACACAGCATTTGAGGTAAATAATGAAGTGGAGGACTTCGCAAAGACAACACTACTCATATCGGGCTATCCGGTTCATACAACTTCACCGAGAAGTCATTTCTGATGGGATTCATTATGAAGCTGTGCATCGCCCACTCACACCACAATTCTGTCTCCATATTCTATGGGGGAATTAAAGTGCTATTTGTTGATGTCCACAACACGTGTTGGTTCGATCAACAAGCCTTCAGTCATCAATCTCTAATCCCACATTTTTTAGTGAGATTTCAGAAATATTACAATGGCCAATTCTCTTGCATGGTTTATTGTGACTATTTGCAGTGCTGTTGGTGAGCGGTCATTGTTGAGCCTCTTATCTCATCACCGTCTAATATTCTAGATCCTCTCAAGTATTTTGCGCCGTTGTTCTAATTGACCCTACCGCCCTACCCTCATCTATAAACTTCATCTGGTCACCACACACTGACGTCTACTTAATCAACATGTTCACATCCAGAGCTTCGGTGTAAATACAAACACGCACGTCAACAATGCAACACTGTCGCCCTCTGCATCACTGTTACAATCGTCATCATTACTGACCAACCTCGTGTAGCGCAACGCTGGAAATGGACTTTTCGGAAAGGAAGAAAGCGATCAACTCGTCTGAATATTTGTATATTTGTGAAAATGAATGTGAGGTTACTTAGGTGGGAGAAGAAAGAGAAGGGGAGAAAATAGAATGACGCTGTACCAAATCACTTGCATGATTTACAGAGTCACATTTTGGTGAAAATATGCACACACACACACACTGACTTTGTGCATGGTGTGTGTGAAGTGGAAGGAGACGCTTCGGTTCGTGGTCAATCAGATTGGACAGAATCCTGCTCCATTGACTGGTTGGACATTCCAATTTAGTCTGTTGAAAGGAGGAAGGCAGTCGTGTTAGCATCAGTGAAGCAATCAAGCAATCGAAGAACAAAGTTTGATGTAGTGGATTCACATACAGTTAAATAATCGATAATAAATACAATACAGATTGGTGTGACATTGTGAAGTGAGTGAGGTTATGAGTAGGCAGGAATTATGTTTCCAATTGAGAATTGCTGTGCAGAACATCGGATTTTCCTGTTTTCAACTTCGTCATTTACTCCAACGCATTCACCGCTTCGATCGCATCTTCTCTCCCATCTTAATCTTATCACCACTTACAATGTCTGGATTATTCTTGACGCTGTCATCAATAAATGTACACTTTTTCCTTCATATATATGAACTAATACTGCTGTTACACAGAGAAATCGCGATCAGTTCGCACATAACTTGGTTACATCTATGAAGTACTGCTTACACATGCTCACATCACAACTTGATGTCTATGTGAGGAAGAATTTGTATTGGAAAGATTCTTCGTTAGCCGGTATCGCGTCATTTCATGCAGAAGCATTTAGAGAAATTGGATCAATAGGGAATGATGGTGGAGATGAGCAGGATGAAATGGAATGCAATGCAATGCAGTGGAGTGCAGTTCATTGGAGTGTCGTGCAACTCACCTTCTCATTCGACAACGAAGCTCACTCAGGCGGTCACCGAAATCACTTGTGCTCGTTCTCTCTTGAGACCAGAGTTGTTCAGCTATTGCAGCAGCATGAGGCCTTTGTTTGGGAAGGAAGTTATGAAAAGATGAGAGAGGAGTAGTCAGATGTACTCAAAAACAGTACGAGTTATATGATTGGTGATATTTCAATATGGTTGTGGCTGGTGTAGATATGGTTGTGAATATCTCTGTCGATGTCAGTGACAATTCCAAGAACTAACCTTGATTTTAGAGATTCACATTGTCCTATCCTTGTGAAAACTTCTGCCTCTTTGCTAACTTCCAATCAGTCATCCCTTGTAGGATACATCTCGCATTACGCAATACATTTTTAGAGGGCAAGTTTCACCAGTATCTGATTGGTCTAGTGATTTCTCTGTTAATGATAATTAGGACTGTACAGCTCATGAAAGTGAATCCTCGAAAAGAATATTTTCTTCGCTCTTTACACCTTTTTCTCTCGAAATCTGCTTTTCAGGCTACGATTTTACACCAATTTGGAAACGATGCGTTTTCCACCTGTGGTCAAACGAGTGATGAATATTACAAACTAGCAATGGAATAGGAAAAGACACCATCCATCTCTTACCATGAAACCAACATCAGATTCACATCATCCACGTAGTCCCCCGGAATCACACCTTCTCCTCCAACCACCAGTGTGGATTTCTCTGAACTACCTGAAACAATTGGAAATGTGGAATTCAGTTAACAGCGTGAATGTGACAGTGGAAATGAAATTGTATGATTGTGACTGAGAAGGGGAAGTCAGTTTGTGATTGGAAGTTACTGTGTGTGACTGTTGATTTTGTGTGTATATTTTTGTACCTGGTGCTGAATGGATCGATGTTACACATAGACACTTGACTCAGGTTACTAATTCACCTTTTCGCACACACACCCACGCACACACATGAAGATTCTCCTCACTATCGTGGATATCTTTCTGCTACATATGAGCCAGGAATCGGTGAGGACTGCGGTCTGATGACTTCAGAGATCTCTCGATCTGTATGTCAGTATCTGAGATCACTTTTCTGTCAGAATTACGTGCAAGGAATCACTCTGAATTCACTTATTGTAACCTCACACAGAAGATTGAGATTAGTGATTGTGATGACAGAGTTTTTCGACGGATGTTATTTATGCAGTGTATCTACTATGATTTAATTGAATAGATCATCAGCACTCTGAACCTCTGAATGAGTTGCATTTAACTCATGACATATTAATGTTGAGATGACACAATTGATCGAGTGAAGTGAATGATGACGAGTACTAGTCACTTCAAACATTACTTGAAATACCTAGAGAAAAGGATAATTCTAGTTCGAAATATTTGCATTATTCATCTACGAACCTCATGAATCTCACAAAGACTTACTTGCCTGAGATATAATAGAAACAAACAATTGCAAGATGTTGGAATTACCTTCGAAATTCAAGGGATCACACTCGTAGAACAACTGCCAGTCATCTCCGACACCCACATCACTGAAATTCCAACACGACGAAATGAGAACTTTGAATCCCGCTCCCGTGATCTCCTCAACACTCTTCTTCCATCCTTCAGATTTGTGCACTTGAACAATCATATCCTTGTCACTCTAAACACAGAAGAGGAATTCACCAGTTAGTCTCTCAGTCAGTGAGTTACATGTTGCTTGTGTTGACTGATTGAGATTGGGTGGCGTGAGCCAGTCAGTTATTTGTAGATGGGGACACATCGAACTCTGACACAATTGAGTAAGGTACTGGGAAATATTTCACAGAGTGGATCATGAGGAGTGTCATTTTATCATTTTGTGGTGTTTGATGTTTCTGCGCACCAGTGATCAGGATTTTGATTTATGGTGCCATGCAATAGACGAGGATCTCTTCTAAACCCTTGAATGATACCCCGAGTGAATAATAGGAGTTTGCAGTCGCTTTGGTTTCTGCTCAGTATACATCATGTGTACAGCAAGATACAGGAGTATGTTCAGTCTAATGAATAATTCACACTCAGTGATTACCAGCGCCATTCAGGTTTCTTCAAATATCACACTTCAATACACAATGCACTATGATCAAAATTTTGCGTCAAAATATATTATCCTACCATGCATTTACACTCTATCGTAGGGAATATATATTCTATAATTTTCGTCAAACAATTCGTCTCGCATTAGATTTGTGAAGTGAGACTGGTGGGTGTCTTCATTTCAGTGTTTCCGCTCAAAGACGACCAATCTATATGCGTATCACTAACTTCAACCGATAGACTCAGCGCTCTGAATTTCCACTACAAGTGAGTGAACAGCGACACCAATCCCTCAATCTGTAAGTTCGAATAGAAATGTAACTATGATTGGTGCAGACACTCGGTATTTTAATATGAGATCATTAGCCCAGTTCAATATGCCACACCACATTTTCATGTTAAATAACAAATGATAGAGAAATTAGTGTCTGACCAGGATCAATAGTACCAATACAGACTTACACGAAATCCATTCTCATATACATCCTGCCAAACAATCGGAACCATTGCAGATCCAGATACCAACGATGACGATTTGACAATTTCTACAAGTTGTTCCATGTAGTAGTTTTCCAACTGTGAGTAGTCAGTGTTGAATTGTTTCTCCTGCATGAAATTTGTGATTTCGGGATTGGACTGCCTGTGAAACGAGAGTGGAATAATGAGGAGATAGTTTGAATTTCGGTGTGACAGACGAGTATACTGACCAAAATTAGATGACCGACATAAGAAAAAATCATAACAAGATCTGTTTTCTGAACGTTTCGCTGTGTCAACCACAGCTTCTGCAGCAGATTTATTCGGGTTTTATTAATCATCAAAATATATTTAATTGGTGGATGGTGGCTAGTAGTGGAATTCAGGATGCGCATTTCGTCCTATTTGGGACTCCTATATGTCAGTCACTTGATATTGTGAAATATGAACTTGAAAACAATCAGGAAGTCTTAGTTAAATTTTCATTATCAATAGAGAAAGTTATAAAATGCTTAAATTTTGATTAGAATCTACATATTTTACCTGTAAAGACAAACTATACTGTCAGACAAACGGAGTTGCATCTCCAATTGTTGCAAACCTGTTTATAAAATCTCTAGAAAGAAAAGGACTAAGAAGTTTTGGTTGTCATCCTAGAATATGGTAGAGATATGTAGATGTCACATTTATCATCATCAAGAAAGCTGAAAAAGAAAACTTTCTTAAAGAGATTAACTACATCTCAGAATATATGGCGTTTACTAATGAAGTAGAATGGAAGAAGTTAACTCTAAACTTTCTTGATTGTCTTATAAAAGGACAAACTGACGAGAAACTGAAGTTTACAATGTACAGAAAACCGACACACTCCAACAAGTATTTGAATTTCCAATCAGATCATACAATAGGAAGGGAAATTTCTGTAGCTGTATATCTCGTTAACAGAGCTAGAAACATTATAACAGATAATGATGATATGGAGGACGAGATATCCAATATAAAACAGATTTGATTGGAAATGGTTATCCGGAAAAGCTACTAGGTAATATTATCAATAAAAAGGAGAATAAGGGAAAACAGAAAATTGAAAAATCTTGGCTATCGATGGAAGCCATTTCATATCGAAAGAACTGACCTCTGAAGCCTTGCACATTTTAACCACATTGAATGCAGTGAATAGGAAAGAAGGGATAGACTTATCACCTACATGGCAAACTCTAATGAAGCAAGACAGATGAAAATACAACAAAACCCTCTGTGAGCTTCCATGGTCTTTAAAAATGTGTTGTCATGTTTATCACATGTGAATTGACGTCTTTTCCATATAATAACAAATAACATGCACTCACACACATACTCATGCAAAACTAATCCTTAAGGTCCAATAACAATTTGACATTAGTCGTGACAAATATATGTGATGACTGCTTACATATTTCTATTGGTAGAAATGTCTATGGACAAGTGACCTTCAAATAAACTGACTTCAATTTACGTAAAAATTTTTGACGATATATTTTAATGATCAATTAATAAAATCTGAATAAATCTGCTGAAGAAGCTGTGACTTACACAGCGAAACGTCCAGAAAAAAGATCTTGTTTTGATTTTTTCTTAAACACGCTGGGATTAATTTAGATAATTTATTATTGTGAGAAATGCATTGATTGAGTGAATCAGTGAAACGGTGCAGGATAATCATATTAGTGAGAACTCACCAGCATGTGAAATCCACGTCATCACCGCCCAAATGAACGTGGTTGTCAGCAGAAAATACGCTGAGAATTTCCTGGTAGAAATTGTGAATGAAGGTGAGATTGGTTGGATTGACAGGACCGAGTATCTGATTTCCTTCTTCGTCTTGAGTGTGACAGGGAGTGAGTACATCGGGATAGCCATTTCCCCATGACTGTGTATGTGCTGTGAAATGAGAGAGATGAAATATGTGATGTGGGTGATTACTGATGTTGACAGTCATGAAAAGAAATTTTCTGATTGGGAAGCTTTCATTTGATCTGAATGTAAGTATGGTCGTGAGTTGAAATCTATCGAAAATTCATGAAGTGAATCTTTCTGCCTGACTTTGTACTTGGGTGTGAGGATTTATTGTTGATGCTCCGTCCTTTCTTTATTTCTCACAGTAATCTTAGTCATTTTCGCTTTCCTTCTCCATATATGTATATACCTACAGTTAATCTTCACGATTCACAGACATAAATGATTCTGATATTTGCGTGTGGAGTACCCTGTAGACAGTTGGGATTCTACAGCTAGTTCTGCCGAACACCCACTATATGTAATCCACTTACATTTTTCACAAAGTAATCTGTATAGGTAGTGCAACTGCTCACATTCTTCATTAATTTAAGTGACTCTATCACAATGATAAACAAAAACTGTTTGGGAAAGAGACTCTCCGTATCGAGATATCAGCTTGATTGAACTGATCGCTTCAAGGCAAATCGGTCTGACTGCAGATGTGTTGCTATCAGAAGACATGCACACCACTGAATTGAAGTCAGTGATTCTCAGTGGAATGAAAAGTGTCTCATTGAGTCAACCTACTTTAAATTTACCATTCAATCAGACAGTCAAGTTATTCACGAATAATCCTCAGTCAGATATTGATGAAAAACAAAACACGCATATCAACGAAGAGTCACTTTTCAAGGAATTCATTTGAAAAACTGTTAACAATTAGCCTCTATGAATTCACAAATCACAACCAAGTCATGAATGTTCAGGGAGTTCGAATATCAGGGTGAATACTAATCTAGTAACAAGGAGTACTCACTGAAAACTCAAAATGGATTTGAATATTTCAATCCACACGTGACAACATGACACTCACCCGGTGTATCGAACTCCGGAATTATTCGAATTCCACGAACACGCCCATACTCCACCAAATCAACTATCTCATTACGCTCGTACACTTACGCCTCAGGATGATATGCACCCTTCAGTTGTTGTGTGAGTCGAATAAAATTGAAGAAGTGATTAGTCTTACCTTGTTTGACAGTTCAGGATATGTGGAGGAGACGTATGGGAATGATTCAGTGTCTGTGATGTGCCAGTGTAGAACATTCATTTTCACCATGGCCATTGCATCCTGAAATGTGCAAGTGTGTGAATGTGTTAGAGTTTCATGTCTCCCTCGAGTGGAGGGAGGTGAATGATGACTTACAATGAACTTGTGGATTTCTCCGATGGTGAGGAAATGTTTCGATGTGTCTAGCATGAGTCCACGATGTGGAAATCTGGGTGAATCTTCCACATAGACATTCTTTATTAATTTCTGAAAAATAATTTTCTTGGCTTCAATTACCACTTACAAAATTCCACTCATCGTTGTATGCATTCTGGAGTACAGTTTCCAATGCATGAAGGACTCCCCAAACTTCAGTCGATGTTATATTCAACGTGTTTATCTGAAGATCAATCTTATCTTGACACGTTCATTCGTGTAATCTTGTATTTGCTTACATGATTCATCCATTGATTGAGATGGTCGGAGAACGGATTCACTTTCATCACATCCTGCAGCGATGTTTATCTCGATTGCATTTATCAAGCAGGTATCTTTATATTTGTCTGGTGGTGGTATGTCTTTTGCATTCAGACGTTCTTTGAATCGTCTCACAGCTTGCATTAATATAAAGCATGTGGGATATTTATGTTCAATTGCCACATGTTCAAGCAGGTTACAGTATTTCTTATCCTTCAGGTGATATTTGTTTGGTTTAGGTATCAAAGTGAGTGATGGCGAAATTATTATCAGACATATAAGCGTCAACAAGATACACCGAGTCATGGCAACAATGAAATTGTACTGTTCGGAATAAAGCACCTACTATTATCTTACTGTTAATGGTGGTAACCTTCATTTGTCTTTCGCATCATCAGGACTATATATATGTGTGTTTATCTCGTGGTATTGCGTACTGATTGGTCGACAACATGAATAAAGTGTGGGTGTAGGTTGTCTGTTGAGTTGTGATTGGAGTGTCAATACTGGTCTTAATACTGAAGGTCATTCCACAGCGTTTGACTCAATGTGAGAATTGAAGTTTACGTAGGTATTCAGAGTTAGATAGACATTCAGGCTGCTAGGCAGACATACAGGAGTCACAATAGGAATTTAGAAGCCAAAAACTCATTGTGGAAATGAAGATCCACTGGTTGTGAAAGTGATGTTGACAGGGATCCTGTGACGTGTTGTACTAACTGTAGGCAAAGATTCTTGAGTAGAGCTGAGAGCTTCCTAAGTTGTAGAATGTATCCTTACGCCTATCTCTCATCAACTGCAGTGAATTACTACTTGTCTGCTTGATGTCTAGTGCTTCCAACACAGTATTAGACTCACCAGTCTATCGACAGGTGGCGTCATTTGTCAAACCATCTCTGATACGCCATGATCCGTAGCACTCCATCTAATTACCACTTCTTTTTCAGGTTTAGAGCGTTGATGAATACTTCAGAATCTCGTTAATATAATTAGATCAACAAGCCTTCAGTTATCAATCTCTAATCCCTTATTGTTTAGTGAGATTTCAGAAATATTAAATTGGCCAATTCTATTGCATGGTTTATTGTGACTATTTGCAGTGCTGTTGGTGAGCGGTCATTGTTGAGCCTCTTATCTCATCACCGTCTAGTATATTCTAGATCCTTTCAAGTATTTTGCGCCGTTCGTTGTTCTAATTGACCCCGCCGCCCTACCCTCATCTATAAACTTCATCTGGTCACCACACACTGACGTCTACTTAATCAACATGTTCACATCCAGAGCTTCGGTGTAAATACACACACGTCAACAATGCAACACTGTCGCCTTCTGCATCACTGTTACAATCGTCATCATGACTGACCAACCTAGTGTAGTGCAACGCTGGAAATGGACATTTCGGAAGGGAAAAGACAATCAACCCGTCTGAATATGTGTATATTTGTGAAAATGAATGTGAGGTTACTTAGGTGGGAGAAGAAAGAGAAGGGGAGAGAATAGAATGACGCTGTACCAAATCACTTGCATGATTTACAGAGTCACATTTTGGTGAAAATATGCACACACACACACTGACTTTGTGCATGTGTATATGTGTGTGAAGTGGAAGGAGACGCTTCGGTTCGTGGTCAATCAGATTGGACAGAATCCTGCTCCATTGACTGGCTGGACATTCCAATTTAGTCTGTTGAGAGAAGAAAGGCAGTCGTGTTGACATCAATAAAGCAATCAATCAATCGAGCAAGCAAGTTTGATGTAATGGATTCACATACATTTAAATAATCGATAATGAATGCAGTACAGATTGGCGTGACATTGTGAAGTGAGTGAGGTTATGAGTAGGCAGGAATTATGTTTCCAATTGAGAATTGCTGTGCAGATCTTCGGATTTTCCTGTTTTCAACTTCGTCATTTACTCCAACGCATTCACCGCTTCGATCGCATCTTCTCTCCCATCTTAATCTTATCACCGCTTAGAATATCTGGATTATTCTTGACGCCCTCATCAATTAATATACACTGATTTATGTAAATGAGATTCCATCGGTAGTTGGGTCATCCTGCTTACTGTTTGCTGATGACATCAAGATATGAAGGGCTTTACACGATGACAGTGATCAACTTGCTTTGCAGGAAGATTTAAGCTTGTTAAGTGATTGGTGTAAGCACTGGGCCTTGGAGATTAACTTAAGCAAGAGTGTAGTTATGCATGTATCTCACAGTCACGTGCACAATTACTCAGTGAATGGCATTACTCTCCCAGTGGTCACTGAGTACAAGGACTTGGGAGTGGTTGTGCAACATGACTTGAAAACAGCAACAAACTGTAGAGCTGCAGCCACTAAGGGTTTTCGAATATTATGGGCCATACGCAAAGCTTCTGCGAATTTTGACGCTGAAATATTTCGTATATTATATCCGACTGATATCAGATCTCATTTGGAATATGGGATCCAGGCAGCGAGCTTGTGTTTCAAATACGAAATAGACTTATTAGAAAGGGTGCAAAGCGTAGGAACTAAGCTAATAAAGCGTTTCTCAACCCTCTCATATGAAGAGAGGGTAAGTCGGCTGGGTTTATTTCCACTGTCATACAGACGACTTAGGGGTGACCTAATACTAGCATACTGTATCCTAAGAAATGATTTTGGAGCAAATTTATCTAATTTATTTCTTCCTTCTAGCACCAACCAATTGCGAGGACATCACCTCAAGGTTCAAAACCACGGTCGAATCGTCTGCGTTTGGAGATCCGTTTTTCGCATCGAATTGTGAACCATTGGAACTCCCTAACTGAACATGTGGTATCAGCGCCATCCGTTGATTCATTCAAGGCGAGATTGGACCTCCTGTGTGTAACAAATCGAAAGGATTAACACAGGCATATAGCCTACTATCCTAAATAAATTGTAAACTGTAAACTGTTTTTCCTTCATATATATGAATTAATACTGCTGTTACACAGAGAAATCGCGGTCAGTTCGCACATAACTTGGTTACATCTATGAAGTACTGCTTACACATGCTCACATCACAACTTGATGTCTATGTGAGGAAGAATTTGTATTGGAAAGATTCTTCGTTAGCCGGTATCGCGTCATTTCATGCAGAAGCATTTAGAGAAATTTGATCAATAGGGAATGATGGTGGAGATGAGCAGAATGAAGTGAAATGCAATGCAGTGGAGTGTCGTGCAACTCACCTTCTCATTCGACAACGAAGCTCACTCAGGCGGTCACCGAAATCACTTGTGCTCGTTCTCTCTTCAGACCAGAGTTGTTCAGCTATTGCAGCAGCGTGAGGCCTTTGATGGATAAGATATGTAAAGGTGAGTAAAAACAATCAGATGTACTCAAAAACAGTACGAGTTATATGATTGGTGATATTTCAATTTGATTAGAGCTGGTGTAGATATGGTTGTGAATATCTCTGTCGATGTCAGTGACAATTTCAAGAACTAACAACTTCACCACGTCTCTACACTACAGTGTGTGGATGCAAGTCATTCTTGCATCTGTTCGTCTTTGAATGAGAGAGAATATCACTTTGATTTTAGAGGTTCACACTATCCTATCCTTGTGAAAACTTCTGCCTCTTTGCTAACTTCCAATCAGTCATCCCTTGTAGGATACATTTCGCATTACATAATACATTTTTAGAACACAAGTTCCACCAGTATCTGATTGGTCTAGTGATTTCTCTGTTAATGATAATTAGGACTGTACAGCTCATGAAAATGAGTCGTCGAAAAGAATATTTTCTTCGCTCTTTACACCTTTTTCTCTCGAAATCTGTTTTTCAGGCGACGATTTTCAACCGTTTCAGAAACGATGCGTTTTCCACCTGTGGTCAAACGAGTGATGAATATTACAAACTAGCAATGGAATAGGAAAACACATCATCCATCGCTTACCATGAAACCAACATCAGATTCACATCATCCACGTAGTCCCCCGGAATCACACCTTCTCCTCCAACCACCAGTGTGGATTTCTCTGAGCTACCTGAAACAATTGGAAATGTGGAATTCAGTTAACAGCGTGAATGTGACAGTGGAAATTAAATTGTATGATTGTGACTGAGACGGGGAAGTCAGTTTGTGATTGGAAGTTACTGTGTGTGACTGTTGATTTTGTGTGTATGTTTTTGTACCTAGTGCTGAATGGGTCGATCGTCCACATAGACACTTGACTCAGGTTACTAATTCACCTTTTCGCACACACACCCACGCACACACATGAAGATTCTCCTCACTATCGTGGATATCTTTCCGCTACGTATGAGCCAGGAATCGGTGAGGACTGCGGTCTGATGACTTCAGAGATCTCTCGATCTGTATGTCAGTATCTGAGATCACTTTTCTGTCAGAATTACGTGCAAGGAATCACTCTGAATTCACTTATTGTAACCTCACACAGGAGATTGAGATTGGTGATTGTGATGACAGAGTTTTTCGACGGATGTTATTTATGCAGTGTATCTACTATGATTTAATTGAATAGATCATCAGCACTCTGAACCTCTGAATGAGTTACATTTAACTCATGACATATTAATGTTGAGATGACACAATTGATCGAGTGAAGTGAATGATGACGAGTACTAGTCACTTCAAACATTACTTGAAACACCTAGAGAAAAGGATAATTCTAGTTCGAAATATTTGCATTATTCATCTACGAACCTCATGAATCTCACAAAGACTTACTTGCCTGAGATATAATAGAAACAAACAATTGCAAGATGTTGGAATTACCTTCGAAATTCAAGGGATCACACTCGTAGAACGACTGCCAGTCATCTCCAACACCCACATCACTGAAATTCCAACACGACGAAATGAGAACTTTGAATCCCGCTCCCGTGATCTCCTCAACACTCTTCTTCCATCCTTCAGATTTGTGCACTTGAACAATCATATCCTTGTCACTCTAAACACAGAAGAGGAATTCACCAGTCAGTCATTCAGTCAATGGGCCACATGTTCATTGTGTTGATTGATGGGGAGTAGGTGGTGTGAGGCAGTTAGTTATTAGTAGATGGGGACACATCAAACTCTGACACATTCGAATAAGACATTGAGAAATATTCCACACGGTGAATGATGAATGTTGTCAGTTTATCATTTTAGTTGTGATGGAGACTTTAATGTATGGTGTCAAGCAGTAACCTAGGATTTCTACAAAATCCTGGGTTGGTGAAAGGAGTTTGCATCAACCTTGATTTGTGTGGAGTGTCTATCATGTGTCCAATGATGTTCATGAGTAAGCTCAGTCTAATGAGTAATTCTCACTTAGCGATTCCCTACTATTTAGTCCTCTTGAAACAGCACAGTCAGTTCAACAAGCTTCATGACTGAGTGTTAGGCCGAATTATATTCTTGTGGTATGTGAATGCTTTCTATCATCACACTGAATATACTCAATAATTCTCGTCACATTGTTGGTCTTCTCTTGGATTTGTGTAGTGAGACTGATGGGAGAATTCATCTCAGTGTTAGTTAGCACTTAAAGACAACTGGTCGATATGCGGATCACAAACACCACCATTCAACCGCGAAACACTGTGGAATTTCGTTTCCAGTGATTGAACCACTACGACACCAATCACCAAACCTGAGTTTTATAATAGAAATATGACAATCATTGATTCAGTCATTCGGTATTTTAGTATTCCCAATCACCAACAGTACCTGATCATTAGTTCAGTTCACTAAATCACTCGAAAAGTTTATTCGAAATTCACATGTACTCACTGCACACAATCGAACACTTATGAACATTATCAATGTACACTTACACGAAATCCATTCTCATATACATCCTGCCAAACAATCGGAACCATTGCAGATCCAGATACCAACGATGACGATTTGACGATTTCTACAAGTTGTTCCATGTAGTAGTTTTCCAACTGTGAGTAGTCAGTGTTGAATTGTTTCTCCTGCATGAAATTTGTGATGTCGGGATTGGACTGCCTGTGAAACGAGAGTGGAATAATGAGGAGATAGTTTGTGTTTCGGTGTGACAGACGAGCATACTGACCAAAATTAGATGACCAATGTAATCGAATTATGCAAATTCACACTGCTTCTCTCCTCATATGCTAATCTGCATTACTCTCACGTTTTCTCGATCACTTTACACATATTCTTTCCTCACGATCATGACAAAAGACTACACTCATCTATAGTTGTTCATAGAATTGTATGAAGTCCAAGTAAGAGAATACATCAAAATTGTTATCCAGCCCACCCACCTCATATCCATTCCATCACACATCACTTCAATTCGCTCGCTCACTCACTCTCCATCCCTCTCCTACATATTTCCACTCTGATATTAAGGCTGTGTCGCTCAAATCATTGTGAATATTATGTGAGAAATGCATTGATTGAGTGAATCAGTGAAATGGTGCAGGATAATCATACTAGTGAGAACTCACCAGCATGTGAAATCCACGTCATCACCGCCCAAATGAACGTGGTTGTCAGCAGAAAATACACTGAGAATTTCCTGGTACAAATTGTGAATGAAGGTGAGATTGGTTGGATTGACGGGACCGAGTATCTGATTTCCTTCTTCGTCTTGAGTGTGACAGGGAGTGAGTACATCGGGATAGCCATTTCCCCATGACTGTGTATGTGCTGTGAAATGAGAGAGATGAAATATGTGATGTGGGTGATTACTGATGTTGACAGTCATGAAAAGAAATTTTCTGATTGGGAAGCTTTCATTTGATCTGAATGTAAGTATGGTCGTGAGTTGAAATCTATCGAAAATTCATGAAGTAAATGTTTCTGCCTGACCTACGTACTTGGGTGTGAGGATTCATTGTTGATGCTCCGTCCTTTCTTTATTTCTCACAGTAATCTTAGTCATTTTCGATTTCCTTCTCCATATATGTATATACCTACAGTTAATCTTCACGATTCACAGACATAAATGATTCTGATATTTGCGTGTGGAGTACCCTGTAGACAGTTGGGATTCTACAGCTAGTTCTGCCGAACACCCACTATATGTAATCCACTTACATTTTTCGCAAAGTAATCTGTATAGATAGTGCAATTGCTCACATTCTTCATTAATTTAAGTGACTCTATCACAATGATAAACAAAAACTGTTTGGGAAAGAGACTCTCCATATCGAGATATCAGCTTGATTGAACTGATCGCTTCAAGGCAAATCGGTCTGACTGCAGATGTGTTGCTATCAGAAGACATGCACACCACTGAATTGAAGTCAGTGATTCTCAGTGGAATGAAAAGTATCCCATTGAGTCAACCTACTTTAAATTTACCATTCAATCAGACAGTCAAGTTATTCATGAATAATCCTCAGTTAGATATTGATGAAAAACAAAACACGCAGTTCAGCGAAGAGTCACTTTTCAAGGAATTCATTTGAAAAACTGTTAACAATTAGCCTCTATGAATTCACAAATCACAACCAAGTCATGAATGTTCAGGGATTTCGAATATCAGGGTGAATACTAGTCTAGTAACAAGGAGTATTCACTGAAAACTCAAAATGGATTTGAATATTTCAATCCACACGTGACAACATCACACTCACCTGGTGTATCGAACTCCGGAATTATTCGAATTCCACGAACACGCCCATACTCCACCAAATCAACTATCTCATTACGCTCGTACACGTACGCCTCAGGATGATATGCACCCTTCAGTTGTGGTGTGATTCAAGTTAGAAAGGGAATAATTCATCAGTCTTACCTTGTTTGACAGTTCAGGATATGTGGAGGAGACGTATGGGAATGATTCAGTGTCTGTGATGTGCCAGTGTAGAACATTCATTTTCACCATGGCCATTGCATCCTAAAATATGTGTGTAAGTGTGTGTGTTTCAAGTCTCCCTCGAGTGGAGGGAGGTGAATGATGACTTACAATGAACTTGTGGATTTCTCCGATGGTGAGGAAATGTTTCGATGTGTCTAGCATGAGTCCACGATGTGGAAATCTGGGTGAATCTTGCACTATGAATTTTCTTATGATTTTCTGCAATGAAAGGAATGAATGAATGTGAGCTAGTGGAACGAGACTATCTCTGACTTACTGCACCACAGTCATCACTGTATATGTGTTGTAATATGGTTTCCAATCCGTGCAGGATTCCCCACACTTCGGTAGCTGTGAAACTAATGTCATCTCCTATGAAAGCAATGGAATCTTTCGATGTCTGTGTAGAGAAATGAATGTGATTGCTTACATGATTCATCCATGGTGTTTGATGGCCTCAGTGCTGCTTCTCTCTCATCACATCCTCCCGTAATTGTCAACCGAATTGTGATGAATAAGCACGAGGTTTTGTTTGCAGTTAATTGCGGAAAATCTTCTTGATGAAGGCGTCGTTGAAATCGTTTAATAGCCTCCTTCATTGTAATACACGAATGATAATTCCCACGGAATTCAATCGGTTCTTTGATAACACAATACTCGTTATCAGCAGTGTACTTCCCCGGTATGGGTATGATAGATAGAGATTGATGGATTATCAGAGATGAGAGTGTTAACAGGATCCACTGAATCATGACTACAATGTTGACTGTTAGTTTGAGTGAGAGCTGACTGCTTTTGTCCTTTCGACCGAGTTTTTAAGTCGAATGTGTGTGTATATCGAGATAATGCTGATTGGTCGATAAGAATTATGAGAACAGTCAGAGTGAGAGAGGGAGAGACAGACAGACAGACAGAGAGATAGAGGGAGAGAGAGGGTGACTGTGTGTATGAGATAAGTGTAGTGACCATGCTCCTTTTAACATTGAAGCTCACATTATTATGAGTGACTGACAGACTGGCTTGGTTTCACTACCGAACTTCACACAGAAGTACAGATGTGTCAGGTTGCCACTGTTGATTAGCACACAAAGGCAGAGATAAGACAGAGGAAATGAGACGAAAACAGAATGGAAAGAATCACGATAAGGAGAAGCGTATGACAGAAACGAAAGCAGTATAATAATAACAAAGCTTCCTTTCAGACAATATAGGAACACATAATACAGAAACTTCCAGCGTATTTATTTCCAAAATATTTCCTCTTCACATAACATTTACATGTTAAGTAACAATCTGAAGTAAATCATGTGATGTAGCATTGTTGCATATGAAGACAGAACCAATGTTGCAATTTGTGTCTTCATTTCCTTCAAGAACTGTACAGTTCACTGAGAAGCTGAGTAAATAAGTGCGTGGATTCATCAAATAGTCCTCTGATATAATTGCATGATTTAAACAATGCGAAATCCAGAATAGTTGAATCATTTTGTTGGACGACAATTCTGGTAGCTCAATGATTCAAGCAAGCTAACAGTTTTTGATGGAAAGACATGATGGTTTGCTGGATATAGGGGAATTTGTTGTCGCCAGTGACGACGATTGTCAGCAATATCATCACTAGTCTTCTTCCAATACTTCTTAGCATTCTGAAGACCCCGACTAGGCAGCCTACATCTTTCTACGTGACTCGAACCAACCGTCATGGACTCCATATGCTGATTCCAGGTGTTTAATTGACTATCCCTAACACCTTTCCAGCCTAGTCATATGTCGGCTAACACAGCCCGTAGTAGAGATAGATGGCTCGGAATGTGCAAAACCTGTCCCAGCCATCTCAGTCAGTGTAGCTACATAACCCAATCGACTAACTTACTCTCCTCATCTGACACTCTACGCTTAACCTCAATATTTCTCACGCTATTACATCACTTAACACCAGTGGTGAAACAGAAACATTTGTGATCAGAGATCCTTGTTTTATGTCTCCCCAATATCTGATGCATGTGCTGAATATGTCTGGATAAAGGTTTCAGCTAACAATTAAATATAATCTTAACAGCCAATTTCTCATACTCCTTCCACACACTCTCTCTACCTGAATATGACTTCAAATTCATCTTCAGCTTTCGCTTTACTATGACTCAGCAGTTTTGGTTTAAATTATTAGGAAATGGTTCAAGGTAAAAATGATAATAATAACAATCGAAATGATAAGGGAGGGATATACAGACAGACTGAATATACAAAATGGAGAATGCGTAGGGCGAATGTGAAAATGTGGATTATAACAGTTTAGCATAGACAGCAGATTAGGGCGATGAATGAAGGAGTTGTTAAGCAAACCGCTCCTGTCTTCAAAACTCTGACATTTCTATTTCTTTGGCCAAAGCGTTAGCGATACAGAGGAGTTGAACATGTGATGATTTGAGCATGTTATTTAAATGCTTCAAAGATGACTTCAAATAGAAGAAGCTGTAGAGATAAGAAGACCAGTATCGATCAGATGTTCATTTACTGAGCTTCTTACAGATTCATTCCTACTTCTTTGTAACCAAGCAGGATAGAATTCTCTCGTGGTTACAAAGAGGTGCCGAAATCATTACCGGTGTGACTCCTCTGTGTTGCTGAAGCTTTGGCCAACAAATTCTAGAAGCCACAGTTTTGAAGACAAAAGCGGTTTTTTCAACAACTCTTTTATTCATCGCTCTTACCTATGTGCTAAACTGTTACAATCCAAATTTCCCTTTTCGCCCTGTTTACTTTCCGTTTTGAAAATTCAATCTGTCTGTACATCCATATCAGTATGAAGAGCGAGATTCGGTTCTCGAACGACAATGTGAAGTCCGTTGTTTTTTGTGGTTCAGGGAGTTGGGCTGTCATGGAAAACATTTCCAACAGATTTCAGACTTCTATCCACCACGATCTGCTCTGCCTTGGCACTGAAGATCAGATGACCTGGAGGGATTAGCAGCAGGTTAATCTGTGAAAGAACAGACCACGAACCTATCATGCAGAAGAAATATGGAAAAGGAAACAAAAGAGATGGGTTGGATGAACGCTGGGGAACCTGCTGAGTGAAATCACGAACAAGGCATCCGGCTTAGTAGAATCTTTAAGGGAAATGGCTCGTTGTGTGTCCTAAGACGATATGGAGGAGACATTGTGTGGAGGGGATGACGGCTTATGGGCAGTGGTGTAGCCGAGACGGTGGACCACACCCTAAATTCCGCTCGAAAGTCAGAGTAATAACAGAAAATTTCCTCTTGTCAAAATATGGCTTCTATACTTATATGGTCCAACATTTTTACGAAGATTTCTCTGCACATTTAACTCGCAAATTACAAAATTAAAAGTCACCTTCTTCAACACCTTGTTTAAGTCGAACGTTTTTCGCTTTGTGTTTTGATAGCATCGAAAACTCCTAGTAGGTAACCATTATCTACAACATATTGTTTTAGTTATCCAATTCCTTCATTGATACTATCGTCAATGAAAATGTTTTGGAGATGCGTCGGGAAAGAAGAGGTAAAATTTCCTCCTCCAACTAATTAAACGACACTGTGAAAACTAGTCAGTTACTCATTCCACGTAGTCTCCTATAAATTCATCCTTTCAACGACCTAACATCCCTTCTTGCGAGTAACTCGTGACGCAAAGTGTTTCACCAATTTTCTGTTTTTCCTGGTTTCAAGTAGACAGTATGATAACCGTCAGTGAATACCTAAGGTAGGGTCGGGTGTCTTACGAAATATATATACATGTCATCGCATATTGTTTATTATATTATAGCTTGATTACACATAGTATTTTGGTACAAGTGTGGAGTTTTGAGCATGTGATATAGGTAGCCCAAAATTAGCAAGCCAATCACAGTTACCAGGTATGCGTCTACCGGGGATTGAATCCCGGACCATGTGCATGGTCGGCGAGCGTCCTAAACGCCGTACCACCGACACACATGATGAAAGTGTCATTCATATATCTCCTATAAAATCTGAGCTCCTTGATAAGTCGAGCGATGAATACTACCCACCATTCATCTTTAATAACGTTATTTGTAATTTAGTAGTAAATTGCAAAGAGGTTATTTCAGCATTATGAATTGATTTCTCGATATTAGAATCCGAAGATATTATGTTTAGCCTCAATCATGTACGCAGTCAAATATACATTTTCTTGAAGTAATGGTGTGAAATTCTATTCTCGCGTTCCAATGAATGTGGATGTATCGTCCATCCACTGATCGATAAATCTGATCTAGATACTCCATGCAGAGTTTCAAAGTTCCTAACAGAACCATGAATCTGTTTGAGATTATAATAAACCGTGTTCGACTAGTAACTTGACATTACTGAGTCCACTTCTCGCTGTGGTTATCAGTGGACTCTAACCGATTAAATTCTCTAACCGATGTCAGCTCATGATGAAATCTTCCAACCAATCAAACAAAATCCCTACAAATCAATGCTTCAAGCTTTCATACATAATTCTTCAGTAATTTTAATATCTTGCTTATCCGTTTTTCTACTGGTTTCTTCTCAGTGTTGTCGAATTCTTCTTGAATCTTTTTTTCTCCAGATGCTACAAATACTTATTATGCCTATTAAAAAGTGGTACACATTGCAATAATAATAATAATAACGGCTTTTGCATATCTTCAGTCATAATAACAGTGTCATTAAGAATAACAGAGTACACATTAAAAAATTGTCTCAGTCGAAAAATGAATTTTGATCAATCAATGTAAGGCGATCTCAGATAGTCGTATGAAAAAGTCCAACTCCACACTTTTCAAGTAACAAATCGTTGCACTTTGCTTATTTATAGTTATAAAGTATACTTTAATTATCTCTAAAAAGATGTTAAGATGGTTATTTTTTTTGTTTGTTTGTTTTTGAATTAGATACTTCAAATGGTTGATAAATCTTGAGCTGATTGTTAGATTAAAAGTACCGTCCTCTATTCTTTCATAATACTTGAAAGGCAGAATAAACTCTCTTAGACAATTTTCTGCCATCTCATAGGTTGCGATTTATATGATTTATGATTCCATCAAAGAGTAACTTTATTTTGATAGTTTCACAGTGTTATTACACACTCTATAACATTGTGAAATTTTATTTATTTTATATATATATACTACTAGAATTACATTGGGAGATATAAGACTGATAAGTAAATAAACTACATTGAATTAATCACGCAAAACGACACATGTGTGAATGTCTTTCGAGGTCATGTTCGAATAGATAAGGGGAGTGGGAGTATGAGAGATTGAAATTAAGATAAAATGCATTATGGTTCGATTACATCACTTAGATAAACAATTAGTCATTAGAGAATATATCAAGAATTGAGGAGTAATATTAATAGTAATAGTTAAAATAATAATGCTGAAGTGAGTTAAAATAATGCTACTGATAAAAGATAGTTTTAAATGACACAGGAATAATAATAATATTAATTAGAGGTAGAATAATAAGTAAAACGTATTACCATGGTAGATTCAGAGTGACGACCATCTCTTTTTGTACACAGAGACCTGGTTTATAAACTCGAATTGCACAAGTCTTTGCAATTACAAGCATCTTCCTGTTTCTTTGTCTGCTGACAATAGTGAACGACTTGACATCGTTGATAGCATATCCGTAGTGCACAAGATGTTTTGTTATTGAGGATTTTGACACTTTGAACTCAGCTGTTTTCAACCATTTTGGCAAATGCTCCATCATGCTAGTAGACAGTCGCCTTTCTGTACGACTTATGTATTTGCTTCCACGAACACACTCAAATCGATATATGCAGTTTGAAG